ATCTCATTTCTCTTTTTCCATGCCCTTGTAGCATACCTTTTACAAAATTTGTCAAATTTTTCTTCAATTTCTTTTGGAAGATTTAGTGAAAAAGAGCCAAGAACATACATTAACTTCTGATCGGTTGTTGAATTTATAAATTGGTTCCAAATAGGCCTATTTGTATTTACTACTTCATGTTCAAGCTTTGCTAGTAACGTTCTTCCAATCTGATGTTATGGAGGGAAGGACATGAAAAAAGAAATGTCTAATATCTTCAATTGAATAAGAGCTACAAATAGAACAAATGCCATCATTATTATATATAGTAATACTAAAGGCGCCGCTCTGGTTCGTTTGATTCCTGTAGTTTCTCCACTTAGTAAAATGTTTAAATTTTACTGCATCCGCAGGAAGGCGGATGTTCCATCGATTTTAATGCAAATAAGCGGAACAGCTCATTCTTCTGCTATTTAAGTTCTTTGATACAACTCATTTTGATCCTTTGTCACTGCACTATATATATTATATATTATTAATTTAACTGTATTATATATTTTTTGCACTGTATGTATAGTTTCATATTTATAGTTGTCTTTGTATGTATATTTTGTGTAATCTTAGCTCTGGAATACAAATTTCTTGTACTATGTATATGAAAATAAATGGAATCTTGAATATTGAGTGTTTCTCCCAGAAGGGTCTTGATAACTGTTACAGTTACCAACTAAATACAGATCTTTATAAATTGGCCCAGTTTACAGGAAGATATTGTTTTGCTAAAGCTGCGATATTAGAAGACGCATGTTAAGTTGTGAAGCCTCCGTATTATTAATAATGCCTATAATATAATATTGAACCTACATAATGCTCAGTAATAATGCAAAATAAAAGGACAGCTCTAATATAAATGATTGTAGTTGGATTTTTATAGAGAAAAGGGTAATTCTTGGCATCTCTATCCCAATACATAATCTAAATTTATTTTAAATATTATGTGTATATATAGCATATGGTATAACTATATATATATAGCCAATTAATAAATACAGTAATACCTTGGTAATACGTGACACGTGTCAAACTGAGTTAGCTAAAATCCGCATATAAAGGTCTAATGGCGTCGAAAATCGTTTAATAATTAACTGATTAGAATATACCGTAAATCCTCGAAGTGAGGCCCGGGACTTCCTTTTTTTTTGCGAACTTGGATGGACTACTTTTCGAGAATGGCTTCTTTTCGAAGCTACTTTTGCAAAGTAAAGAGGGAGCTTCTTTTCAAAATGAAGTCTGTAAATTTTGGGAATTTGTAGGCCTAGGCCTACTATAAAACAATAAATAAGGCCACTGTAACATCAATCTGTATCATGGAGTGTACTACCTGGCATTAAATCACCTAAACTACTGTTCAAACCAAGCTTGTTTTTAATTAATTAATTAATTTTTTAATTCATGTACAGTGCATGTACTGTATTACCTCGAAAAGAAGCCTATACTACATTGAAAAGCCCGTGGGCTTCTTTTCTAGGCTAATTAAAAGAGGGGGGCTTCAATTCGAAATTGGGTTCTTCTAGAGATTAAGCCTATTGGGTCTCAATTCAAGATTTTATGGTATAGGCCTAATTGTTATCTAAAAGAACCTAGGAATTAGGTCGTTTTCATCTAGATGTGTATAAGAGACAGGTGTACTACCTGGCATTAAATCACCTAAACTACTGTTCAAACCAAGCTTGTTTTTAATTAATTAATTAATTTTTTAATTCATGTACAGTGCATGTACTGTATTATCTCGAAAAGAAGCCTATACTACATTGAAAAGCCCATGGGCTTCTTTTCTAGGCTAATTAAAAGAGGCGGCTTCAATTCGAAATTGGCTTCTTCTAGAGATTAAGCCTATTGGGTCTCAATTCAAGATTTTATGGTATAGGCCTAATTGTTATCTAAAAGAACCTAGGAATTAGGTCGTTTTGAAAATCATAAGCTTATATTATAATGACCCATCACAGTTGGAGTGGAGTTAAATATAGATTTGTGGCTAAGATGCTTTCCTTCCAATCCCAGTGTTTAATTCAGTGTTGCAGCATTTAGTAGAAGAAACGTAAAAAAGTGTAATGGATTTGTCATTGTAGGTATAAAAAGAAAAATGAAACAACGGTACCTACTAAAATGTTGATTAAATAATGATTTTAATGATTTAATGGTTAAGGTATTACTATCTCCTGAGGAAGACTGTTCCATTGAATCCGTTACTATGCATCTAAAAGAGAATTTTCTAATAGCTGAGGCCTACTTTTAAACAGTTAAATTTAATGTTCTCGAGTTATACTGCTAATATATTCGCCTGTTAGCTTGCCATAAACATGAACTTTTTAACAAGTTTTGGGCGGAGAATTCACGTTGAAATAATTCAGTAGGCTTAAATAGAGGGCTCCTGTAAGTCAGCATATTTTGTATAGTATTCAGTGGCGTATCTAGCAGTATTAAAATGGCCCCCCCCCCCTTGGATACGCCACTGATAGTATTGTACCGTCCTGTATTATTGTTGTTACGATCACCCTCGTTGAATAAAGTTGAATAAAAATTACACTAAATATGCCTACATACCGAATACTTATTCCCGTTTCTTCTTTGAACATTTGTTCGGATATATTAACTTTATCCTTACTGAATAGATAGAATTCAACATCCATGTGATTTACAGACAGACTTTTCGCTATATTGAAATACACGTTCTTTTCTCTGTTGATATCTGTTACATACAGCCACGGTATAACAACCATTTTAGGCTCTTCACTTTCGAGAATTTGAGCCTTTCCTATGTTGGCATGGCCTATAACTCTGACTGTGGTGTGTTTACCAACGTCCTCTTCAAAGCCTAGGGTAGGCGCAGCGTTCATTCTCAATACACATTCTGTGCTGTCAATTCTTGAGCCAGCGCGGCTGTTAAGTAAATGGCCAGAGTTTGTGACAACAGCGCAGTGTCCACAGTGCAATCGCAATGCCTAAAATAAAACAAGATGGAAACAGATAATTTTTTTAAAATTTGAATGTAAAATGATGTATAACCAAAGAACTTTTGGGCCAGGGTGCTAGAACGCGGACCCTGGGTAAGGGGAAACTCCGGGCCCCTAGGAGTCGGGGGACCGCCACACGATAGCGCAAAGGTATTGTTTCCTTTGGAAGACATTCTTAACCCATTCTTCATTGTTTTACATTTTTTAGTAGAAATATAATAAACATAATAGAATGAACAAAAGAAAAGAGCATTTTTTAAATGACAGCTCGGAAGACTATTTTATTTTTGATTCTTTTGTTTTGAAATGTATTCTTGCAAAAGGTCAGGTGCAGACTCGATATATATGTGTCCTAGTCAAAATGAAGTGCCAACAAATTTCTCATGGTCTTTTATCAGGGATTTTCGGCAACCATGGAGATCTTATTGGTTGGTGCTGAGGTGAGAAAATTTGAAGAAATAGTAGGCCTATCTCTAAATGGCCGGAAATGACATTTTGATATAGTAAAATTCATCGTCATCATCATCATTATTATTAAAAACAAAATTTTATAAAAGCTTGCAAAATGATAAAAACCAAACTGAACCATACAATATCACATTTCTGTATCTTAAAATGGCCTGGTCTGGGATTTATGGATACAAGATTTTGAGTAATCCCAGGAAATAATTTGTATTGGCTGCAAGAATAAACTTTAAAATGTTAACACTGTGTACAAAGTGACGGGGGGTGGGGGTGAGCTGCAGCTCCCATGGCTCCCCTCTGGATACGTCCCTGGTACTAGTGTCTTGACCTTCGAGTGATATAATAGCCTTATTTATAACTCTTTATTCAAACAATTGAAAACATGTTTTAACTAATCGTGACCAAAGGCCAAAGTGCAGCACGGTTATAATTTGGAACTCAGGTTAGTACGTGAATAAAAAAAATGTATTGTATATAATTTATTCTATTAAATTGATTAAAAAAACAACACATATACCGGTACCCGCCTAACCAGGGGGCGGATCCAGAGATGTCTCTTATACACATCTAGATGTGTATAAGAGACAGCCCCTGTCCAAAGCCACCCAACAATGGATTTTACCATTGTAAGGTAGCTGTCTCTTATACACATCTCGCCACGTCCTTGGCGTTATTAACGCTACCTGCAGACCCCAGATTAGCTAACGCCAGTGATGCTTGAATGATTTGACCTCATTTCAAGATATTGACCAATCACGATTGCAATATATTAGCTAAGCAATTTTCAACTTCTGGATTTGGGTCTTTTTATCTATCTCAATGTAAACTGGTATACTGATGTTTTCATGTTTGTAATGTTTTTTTTCTATTTAATGATACTGAATAAATTCAATTCAAAGAAGGACAACGGCGTGGTATTTTGTATATAGTGATATGGAGTTTCAAGATGGACAACAAAATTATTTTTAAGGGGTGGTCTAGTTAAGAAAATACTGGCAATTAATTGTTTTTCTAGCTATTCACAAAATTAGCATCATACTTTGATAATTTAGCAACAGCTGTGTATGCCAATCCTTTTTGCTTGCTGTTCTGTAAAAAGAAAACAAAACAGAAACACCGATTAAAAGAATTTACCAATTCTAACAATATCATTCACTATACTTTCAGAAATTTCTAAAAATAGTTTTAAATTGCATTTTGGTATTATTTTCATTCACCTGGTTCATGAAATAGACTTCACTGATAATGGAAATTAAAAACAAAGTGCAATAATTTGCAATAAGTTATCAATGTATTTGTTCATGTTCATACAAAATTGTATAGAGCCCATTTCCAAAGAAAAATTAATTTTCAGTGGAGATTGAAGAGAGAGTTGTTTAATAGTATTCTTCTGTGTCTTTTTTTTTGTTTTTTTTGTTTTTTTGTTTTTTTTTTTAAATGGGCACATTTTACTAAATGAATAACTAATTCATACATAAGTAAATTAGCAAACTAACTTACTCATTATTAACATAATAATTTTAGTATTACATCTGTTTAGTATTTTATTAATTAAAAAAACTGGCAATTCAATTCATCCATCCACATAAATCCAAATAGACCTCAAAAACAAAACCAAATAAAGTCAAGTCCCAATCACCCCAAGTATGGTAGTCCACAAACCCTCATATCAACTTCCAGTACTGATCCTGTCTCTTATACACATCTAGATGTGTATAAGAGACAGAAATAGAATAGGTCTTACCGTATATTACTGGTTTATTCAAGTAATTCAAGACACTTTATACATTATACCGTAAAACCTTGAATTGAAGCCCTGGGCTTCTTTCTTTTGCGAACTTTGGATGGGCTACTTTTCGAGATGGGCTTCTTTTCGAGGCTACTTTTGCAAAGAAGTAAAGAGGGGGCTTCTTTTCAAAATGAATGCCGTAAATTTTGTGAATTTGATTATTAAACAATAAATAAGGCCACTGTGACATCAATCTGTATCATGGAGTGTATTTAACGGGCATTAAATCACCTAAACTTCTGTATAAACCAAGCACTTTTAAAATTTTTTTTGTTTTTGAAATTCATGTACAGTGTACCGGTATGTACTGTACTATCACCAAAAGAAGCCTATGCTATTTTGAAAACATGGGCTTCTTTTCGAGGCTAATTTTGCAAACTAAAAGGGGGGGGGGGATTTTGCAAACTAAAAAGAGGGGCTTCAATTTGAGTGGGCTTCATCTCGAGATTAAGCCCACTTGGCTTCAATTAAGGTTTTACGGTATGTATGCTCTAATCCATAGCCGTCTGAAGCATTTTGCAAGTGGTCCGGCCATTATAGTAAAAGGGAAAGAGGGGGAGGGGCCGGGGGGCGTTGGGCGTTAAAAAAATTTGTTGACCTACATTCGGATACCTTGACGCATATAAGTTGGCCGATCAGGCTAACAAAGCTTTCAGTTAACAAAATTAATCTTTTTGTTATTCATGGTAAAACCATGGAGTTATTATTGAGAAGGAGATCACTCGGCAAACCAATGTGTTCCCCCCGCTTTTGGATCGCGCGCGGGCGTATTATCTTTTATTCACATTTTTTCGTTAGCAACAGCTTAGCAACGACATGCGTTTATAATAATAGCTCCATGGTAAAACCATCCCCCACTCAACAACATTCGAGGCTAGAAAAATGTTATTATGAAAGTGAAAGGAGATTATTGACTATTTTTATTTTATTTAAGTTATCCATAGTAACCCTCTCGGATACCATTCTGGTATTTCTGAGTCTAGGTTTCGGGGCCAGAATATTGATTACTAATTGTATTAGTATATATACTGTAATATCGTACTAAAGTTTTGTGGCCCTCATATTATAGGGTTATATAGGAGTTATAGTGCCGTTCATAGGCCTAAAAACTTCGATCAGAGCATGCCTTTGATCCCCATAGCTGACTTGGTCGCCGTGTGTGTGTAATGTTCATGAGGGACCCTCACATAGGAAGATTTTTTTAAAAGTATGAGCTTACAGGGCATCATATTCTTCCGTTATGGCTTAAAAATGTTACAGTATATCTGGACACATAAGGTAGTAGCATGACTCAAAATAATGACCAAATCACAATTCGTAGGCCTATTTTAAATCAATGGCGGTCTATTGCGAAATGATAACTGTTACAAAATCGAATTTCTTATCTCAGTGCCATAGATGAATTGAGCTGCTTATACCTCCATTAATAAATAAAATGCTAGAAGCACAAACACATTTTATAAATAAAATATGGTTAACAATGACTATAGGCCTATTTTGAGTTGACGGGTATTGTGAAATACATACAGTAGGCCTATAAAAAGGTAGTTAATTACATAAAATATTGTGTTATGAATACACAGGACTACTATGCATTATTTAAGAAATTATAATACAACGAATAACATTGACTACCGTATATTTACACAACGTGCAGGGTATTGTGAAAAAACTATCAATATGCAATATAAATAAAAAAAAATTGTAAATATTGTCACGATGTTTGTGAACAGGATAAACCAGAAAGCAAAAAAGAACGTATTCCAGGTATTATTCATTTTCATAACCAAATCAGTCGGTTTTAAGAAATTTACCTGGCCTTAATTACTCTAACAAAAAGAAAATTCATAAATAAATTGAATTTACAGGAACCACACCAGCCAAAAAGAATAATCACCGATTATCCCTTAAAATCATCATACAATTATTTTAACACTTAACAATCAGGTTTTGCCTATATCATACACATTAAGCCCTGTCTCTTATACACATCTAGATGTGTATTGTTTGATTTTATTCTATATTATACTATATTATATTACATTATATTATATTAGGCATTATAAATTAAACTTCTATTTTGAATTGTCTTTATGCTGTCTCTTATACACATCTAGATGTGTATAAGAGACGACCATTCTACGATACATTTCTGTAAGACTGCCTTACCACAGAAACATTACCCGAGCAAACTATCGTATTTGCATGCTCTTAAATTATGCAAGCCTTAAATATTTAAATTAACATGGCTACGCATGAATAAATACTCACTCATAAATATGCATATACAGAATTTAGAAATAGGCCTACAAATTCATGAATACAGTAGTTTTGAGTAACGTACTGCTGGTTCTAATTTCACTTACTTGCCATATCCCACCAGGATATTAAAAAACAATTATCACGCTCTAGATGAGTTGCACTACTACTGGAATAATGTTGTATTTTTTAAAAATTAAGTGCTGTGTTTGCTTATGCTAGGCCTTATACCTATTGCTTTAATCTTAGTCAACGTTTGTTTATTTAAGGCAGACCATGTAGATAAATGTAGGTACATGTACTTCTCCATAGACAAATCTACCTGGTGATAAAGACTTAGGCCTATGCTTACCTATAGAGCAGTGTATTGAAAGCGATCTAGTTTTTTGTGGAAGGGTAGAATTAGTTTTACATGGGTACAGGTTACCGTTACCCAGAAAAATATGAAATAATTATGATGATGATGATGATAAGA